GTTTAGGAGTTCTTGCCACAGAATGCAGGGGAAAGGCAAAAACGTCCAGGAAACTGATCTGGATCTGTGCTCTCTTTAAAAGAGCAACAGCATAAACAAAGTAGGTCATGATACAAAAATATACTGAAACAAACAGAAGTTGCATAATAAGCCAGAAATAGTTCAAAACAAATTTCACATAGCTGTGGCTATGAGTCTGGTCCCAAAGATATCACACTGTGTTCAAGACAGGAAATGATGACAGTTGATGTCTGTTGTTTAAAAAAAAGAAAACTGCAGCTGTGGGATTTTAGTGTCCCAATTTCACGTTTTTGTTCCTGGACTTCACTAATCTTATTGCATGATTTTCAGTCTTCAATAGTAAATGTTTATCTATGTGCAACACCTCAGTTAATCTCCTGTACGACCCTGTTTAATGTCAACATCGACCATAGACGCAGTAAATATGTTTTTTGTTTGTTTGGGGTTTTTTTTCAAATCATGCAAGAGCAGAATAGGCCACTAAATGACCACTAACCTGTACCTTACCAAAACTTGTAGTTTTTCTTTCATACTCTAGCATTGGATATTGGCTGTGTTAAATGAATTAAAAGCAGTCCCTGGAGACTAGAACAAATACAGTTGGACGTTTTTCATGAATATAATGTTGGTTAATATCAGAGCTGACTTTGTTGATCGTGTCTGCAGGCTGAAGACTGCTCGAGATGCGGCATCACGCAGTGGCTATGCCCTGGCTCTGGGGGCGCTATACCGCTACACTGGAGGAATCAGCTCACCTCAACACCTGTCCACCTGTCTGGGAGTCCTGTTCACCTTGAGCCAGGACAGCACCTCACCCGAGGTCCAGGTACACGCTTACCCTTACACACTTCTAAATCTATCTGTCTGTATACCAGAATGAGAAAACTGAGAAAAACATTTGATAAATTATTTCATTATGCTTCTGTTTTCCACCAAACCACATTACAGGAACCTTCAAGCTAAAGTGCACTATTTCTTTACTGCTTACACTTCTGCAACACCAATTCTGAAAAAGTCGGCAGGCTGTGTAAATAAAACCAAAATGCAATGACTTGCAAATCTGATAAACCCATTTTTTTTTTTACAATAGACGTTAGGAAATATCAAATGTTTATTATGAAATAGTAAAATGTCTCATTTTAAACATTTGATATGTTCTTTATGTTCCTGTAAAGAAAATCTTGGTTTATGAGATTGGCAAGTCATTGCTTTGTTTTAAGTGACTTGGAATTAGAGGTACACTTTAAGTGCAGTATCTGGTATAATCTGCAACTTGCTTAGGGACAAGTGGGGGAATATCTGTATGTTTGATTCTATATGTACAAATGTAAAAAATATAAGAACCACGTTTACATCGGAGAATAACAAGCTAAGCTAAAGTCTAAGCTCTAGGTGTGAGCACAAAAGCCCCACCCAACTGTTGCTTAAATCAGGAGAAGGGTTGGCTAATAGGCAACTTGATGTGCATTCCTTCTGCTCTGCAAAGGGTGCTTCATTTGATTTGTTCAAGTCTCAAGGTATAAAGGATTTAAGCTGAGAAAGTTAAGACTGGACCAGGTTTCTGTTTGTTTGTTTTTTTTTAATTTTTTTTCCTTCTTGCTGGTCATACCTTTTGTGTATCTCTGTGTCCAGACCTGGTCTCTCCACAGTCTTTCTCTGGTGGTCGACCTGTCAGGTGGTCTTTATAGAACCCATGCGGAACCGTCGTTCACTCTCGTGCTCCGGCTGCTGCTCTCCACTCCACCCACCCACCCTGAGGTGCACTACAGCCTAGGACGCTGCCTGCATTGCCTGATCACCTGTTTGGGCCCAGACCTGCAGGGTATGGAACCCCTTTGTCATTCCCAAGGACAGTTTCAAAATTAGAGAATGTTTTAGGGATGTGTAAGGGATTTGTGTTTTTGACTCCAGGTAATGGCGCAGCAGTGTCTGGTCTGCGCTCCAGCTGTCTGGTTGCATGCGGAGTGATGCAAGACAGTCCAGACTGTCTTGTTCAGGCCAGGGCCATTTCCTGTTTGCAACAGCTGCACATGTTCTCACCTCCACACGTCAACCTGACCAGCCTTGTACCTGCACTCTGTGTAAGTACACCTGAGGAGGCATGGCTTTCTATAGCTTTTTCTTTTCTATAAGCTGTCTAGAACCGTGTTTCCCAACCTTTTGGAGCCACGCTGCATATTTCACGTTAGAAAAATCACACGGCACACCACCAAACAAAAAGGTCACAAAAAGCATATTGATCATTTTTCCCTATGCACCAGGCATAGCAGAATTGGTTTTGGTTTGTCCCCAGGATACCCTTTTTGCTTTCTTCTGACCACTACTCATGCTAGGGCCTTCATCTGGGTCAGGATTTTCTCCAGGACCCAGGTCAGATTCTTTTCAAATATTTATCTATTGCTATTACGTGCCACGTTGTCTCACTCACAGCATGACTGTTTTACTGGCAGTTGGCATTCTATTTAATTATAGCAGGTAGTTGGACTGCTTTCTAGTGGAAGAGAATGTAATTGTTCTGCCTATTACTCACGCTGGTGATTTAGAGTACTAATCAGTTGGAACCAGATAATCTTTCTAGGCATACCTACTCATTTCTCACGGCACATAGTGGTTGGGAAACACTGGTCAAGAAACCTTTTTTTGTATTTACAAAAGAAAACAAGGACCAAAAAGGTTGACATTTATCACATTTTCTGGCAAAGAAGGTACATTTTTTAAATCTCACCTTATGATTATTCATTGATATTGTAAACACCAAAGCTTAAAACTCTACTTCTGTAAAGCCTCAGTCACAAATAACTCTTTTTGTATGTTTGTCACACTAAAATGTTAATATTAGTCAAAAATAACACAAGTCAAAACAACACGCAGATTCTAAATGGTGTTTATTGTTAAGGGGGAAAAAATCCAAATCTACTCTGTGTGAAATAGTGATTTCAAGTTGAAGTACACTTAGGTTCCTCAGCAGGACAATGAAATCAAAACACACCAGCAAGTCTGCCTCTGAATGGCTTAAGGAAAACAAAAAGACAACTTTGGATTGGCCTACTCAAAATCTTGACCTGAATCCAATTGAGATGCTGTGGCATGACTTTAAAAAGGGGGTTTATGCTCGAAAACCCTCCAATGTGGCTGAATTACAGCGGTTCTGCAAAGATGAGTGGCTCTAAATCCCTCCACAGCTGTAGAAGCCAGATATCACAAAGGCTTGATAGCAGTTTTTGCTGGCTCCAGGGTAGCCCAGCCAGTTATTGGGTTTAGAGGGCAATCAGTTTTTCACTCAGGAACATTAAGGTTAGGATTTTTTTCCACTTAATAATTACACCACTGTATTTCTCATTATCATTTCCTTCTCTTCATCTGCCTCATCCACCACTACTCTCTCCTGCATCATTTCCATCTCCTCCTCTTCCTTCTCACCTCAAGCCTCATGTCCTGAACTTAAATCAAGACTCTAACATAAGAAAATGTGCATAAACATACTTATTTATTACTACTATATTGTCACAGTTAGTTACCGTCAGCAGATAAAACATGTGACCCATCAGAAGATAGCTGACAAAGTACTGGGTGTAAAAGTAGCAGCTATTTATAAGCTAACTAGCTAACATTAGGCTCAAATGTTCTAAAAATGACACTTTCCCTATGATAAACAGTTTGATTACATAATTACACCATCAGTGTCGCTGTCATGGGGCGGAAGTGAGGTTAATTGAGTCATTGCCACAAATCAGATTGCTTTCACAAATGTAGCTTTACACCCTCCTCCAGAGTAAATAGATGTGAAAACCCGGCATATTGACAGCTGAGGTAAACAGTGGACTGATAGGCTGATGAATGCCAGCCCATTTGAGGTGACTCGGGGTAAAAAGAACAAATAATTGCAAAATATTTGACAAATATTCAGATTTTCTTTCCTGATTTGTCACTGGATGTTTATTATTAAAATATGTTAAAATATGGTGTTTCAGAGAGAGACTTTATCCATGCTCCTAGATGCATGAAGGAGCATTTCTGCAGGTCCTTCCTTCCTGCAGCTGTCAGACTGTACAATCAATATAGCTCCCAACAAACATAGATGTTTACATCTTATCAACCGATTCACACTACAACCTGGGCCTCTTATCTGTATTTAATTTTATTTAATATTAATAACTATACAGAACTCTGTTTTTGGTAACTATTGTCCTTGATATAAATGTGTAAAAAAAAAATGTGCATGTGTATGTTGTGTATGTGTGCTGTGTACTGTTTGTTTGTATATGTGTTTTTCTTGCTGCTGTTACAACCAAATTTCCCCTTGTGGGACAATTTAAAGGATTATTCTATTCTGTTCTCTATTCTATTCTATCAGAGAGACTTTATTAATCGCAGAGGGGCATTGAGTACAAAAAGGTTTTTATACA